TGAAAAGCATCCCCCCAGAATCAGATAAAAGTTGCAATTGTATTACTAAAAGCAAGTGCCCTTTAAATCAACAGTGTCTCGTTAATAACATAGTGTATCAAGCCACTCTATATCCAGGCACTCCAGACGGGATTGAAAAAGTGTATTTTGGAGTAAGTGAAACTGCTTTTAAACTTAGATACGCTAATCATACAAAATCTTTTAAGATCGAAAAATATAAAAACGATACTGAGTTGTCTAAGGAAGTATGGAAGTTAAAGGAAAATGGAGTAAACCCGACAATTAAATGGAAAATTTTAAAACGTTGTAGATCTTACAATCCCACAATAAAACGATGCAACTTATGTCATAATATCGTACACCTATGATATCTTATTAAATAAGAGGAATGAATTAGTATCTAAATGTAGACATAAAAGCAAGTTCCTCCTTTCGAATTTCGATACGGGTGATTAGGCAGCCGTTTTTAGGTTTTTGTTTTTGTTTTGTTTTGACGACGGAGCACATTCCACTGTAACTTTATATTTTAACGGTTTTTTTTTTTGTTTCTTGTTTTGTATTACATGGCTGATGATTGCCTTTAGGCATGAAACTATTAGTACCAAAAAAAGTTGTTTTCTTTATTTTTATAAATTAATATATATATATATATATATATATATATATATATATATATATATATATATATATATATATATATATATATATATATATATATATATATATATATACACACACAAATATATATATATATATATATATATATATATATATATATATATATATATATATATATATATATATATATATATATATATACACACACAAATATATATTTATATATATGTGTGTGTGTGTGCGTGTGTGTGTGTGTGTGTGTGTTTGTGTGTGTGTGTGTGTGTGTGTTACGAAAAGGTAAAATAAAAGTAAACTATTAAAAATATACATTCAATGTATATTTTTAATGTAACATTACTCACCATCAATTTTCATAAAAACAGGATTTTTTTCTGTATCGAGTAGAGCAAACAATTTTTTTCTAGTATCGATATAATTATTGGTTTATTTCCTGTTTTGTGCAGGTCAGACTTTTTTCTTATTCTCGTCTTCATATTGCTAATTTTTTTTTTATAACACTTTGACATCGCTCCTCGTGCCAGTTGCCTGTTGCAGTAGCTCTTGCATACGTAAAAATGCCTTATTTTTCTTTGCTTTTATATCCGGCAATCTACTCTATTAAAGAAATATCGGTAGATCAGTTAAAATCCTGAAAAAAAACATCATCTTTGCATTCATTCACATTTGTGTCAGCTTCAATTTGACCTTGGGATACAATTTTTGGATATATAGGATATATTTTGACTTCCCTCGCCACATGCAGCCATTTTTAAAATTTTTGCTCAAATATTACTATTGGATAAGACATTTAGGTATTACTCTGAAGCAAAAGCAATTGCTTGCGAGTAATAGCAAAACTTTATTCACGTACTTTATAGCAATCGCTTTTCCTAAGCCCTTTTGCTATTGCTAATACTCAAAGCAATTGCTCGCAAGCTAATGCTCTTTTTTATTCACCCAGCCTAATTGTTAAGCTTAAATCATCTGCACGGTTAAGAACCATGTCCAGAGTTACTAATACCACTTTTTCAAACGGGTTTAGATGCTGTAGTTCTTTGTATTCTAGTTAAACAAGTCAACTCCATTGTCTTGTTGTAGTCAATCACCATATGGGGATAAGAAAGCTTGATGTATGCCTTTTCCTTGCCACTGTACCTCTCGCAAATACCTGGTAAATAAAGCCAATATTGGAGCCTTCATAAATTAGAGATTTAGAATTATAAATAATTTTTTAATTATAAATAGTTTCTAAACTCTAAAACTTAAATATGAAACAAAAAGTAAAATGTAAACTTTTAATAAAAAAATACCTGCAGGGTTAGGACCAGCATAATTACTTGCAAGAACTACAGCTTTGCTACCTATCCAGATGGTTACATAGTTGTTATTATCATAAACCGATTTCATAGAAAAACTGGTCATTTCCTTTTTAGCCTGCTTCTTAGTAGGTATAGGTGCACCCATAAACCTGTTCTGCTGGACAGTACCTGAGGTAAAATGTATTTTATACAGATTAGGCCAAATAAAAAAAATAAAACTTCCCAACATACCAATTAAGCTATCAAACAACTAACTTACAACACCCTAATGATGTTCTACCATATGATCAAAAGATGTAAAAAGATTATCACAGGCTACTTTGGTCCCTTTTTTTTTTTTCTTTTTCTTTTTTTTTTCAGTTTACATTATTTACATGTCGTGATTTCCATGTAATATAAACATATAAACTTAGAATCTGGAAGAAGATCATATTGATCTTGTCGCCAGAATCATATAAAAATTACAATATAAATATAATATAGTATAATACAGGTAGTTTATAACAAAATAAGAATTCAAAACATTTGAAATAAGAAATGGTTAAAATAATATCTTAAAAATATTTCAATATATTATCCGTAGAAAAACTAATATTCTTTAACTTGTTTTTAAAAACAGAAAAAGAGATAGATGAATCTAAATTAGGCTGTACAATTTTATTCCAGATATAAGGTGCTCGATAATCTATACAAAATTGATTAAACTTTGTTTGACAAAAGGGTTCTTTTAAATAGTTATTATTTTGCAAACTGTATTTATTCTTTACTTTAAAGGTAAATAGATCTTTAAAAACATGAAATAAGGGGTTATTCATACAACAAAACGTAAAACATAAAATATTGAACAAGTTAAGTTCATAAACATTTAATACATTCATATCTTTAAATACAGATTTTATATTTGAAAAACCTTTTAAAAAATATATTATTCGCATTGCATGTTTCTGATGACGGTAAAGACGTTGCAACTTACTTTTACCTATACTTCCCCAGGCAATATTTGCATAGTTTATATAGCTATGAATAAATAAGTAGTATAGTTGTTTTAAATTATTTTTATTTAGATAATTTCTGGCCTTATAGAGGATACCAATACTTTTCCCAACTTTTGTTGATATATAATCAATATGAGCTTTCCATGTCATATTTTCGTCAAGATAAATACCTAGAAATTTTAAAACGGAATCTTTTTTTATTTCTACTTTGTCAATATAAAGTTTAGGTAAATTATAAGGTAAAAAGCGTTTTTTTGTTGAGGAGTGGAAAAGGATCCACTTTGTTTTCTCAATATTTAAGGTTAATTTATTGCATTTAAATTAGTTAGAAACTTGATTAAGTTCTTTATTCATATCTAAAAAAAGTTTGTTAAGGTCTTTGTTTGACAAAAATAAATTGGTATCGTCGGCAAACATAATGCTTATAAGATTCGAGGCTTTATTTAGATCGTTGACGTATACTAAAAAGAAAAGTGGGCCAAGGATAGAACCCTGTAAAACACCACATTTTATTTCAATTAATGTTTTATTTTGAAGATTAATAGGAAGCAATTCTTCTCCGTGGTAGACGAATTGCTTTCTATTTGACAAGTAGCTTTTATACCATTTGATCATTTTACCAGTTATTCCGTAAAACTCAAGTTTTTTAAGTAAGATATCATGATTGACTGTATCAAAAGCCTTTGATAAATCGACAAAAACACCAAGTGTATATTGTAATTTAGCAAAAGAATTTGGGTAGGCTCTCTTATTCCGACGCTGTCCTTAATGTCCGCGAAATGGCGAGTTATAACGCTTTAAAGATTTCGCGATGGAGTTGCTACGGAGTTTATTTTGAATTTTTTTTTTTTTTTTTATCAAGATGCTTTAAAAAGTCCTAATGGTCTTGTCACAGCGCACCGCCACAAGGAGAATACAATTTAATAAGTTGGCTTTACTTTTTATTATATTTTGCTTAATTATAAAATCAAATACTTATAATAAAAATAAAATATTTAGTATATAAAAGTTTTATAGTTTGGTTATTTGGTTATGTTAAAATAATGTTTATTACGTACTTTGAATACTTTGCCTTTTAATTGCGAAATTATAATTAGCAATTGTTCGAAGCGTCCTGCGAAAAATTTGCAGGGAAAATAAAACGAAAAATTTGCCGGGAAATTGTTTACTTTAAAAATGTTTAGATTAAAAATGTATTATATACAATTGAGTTAGCCACACAGCCATTTCCTCGATTACTCCGTGACTTTTTTTAAAATTCCACCCGATTTCGCTGATTATTATTTTCAAAATTCAAGCCAATTTCACTCATTATAATTACCAAAATTCAACCCAATTTTACTCATTATTCACTGATTTTTTTGCAGAAAACTGAACACAGGTACTCTACCGATTATTATCAATTTAAATATTTATTAAATGATTTAAATAATATGAACGTATCATTATTAACGTAAGTTTATTAAAAATTATTATTATTAACATCAAAAATAGAATATATTGCCACAAAACAAATTTTTTTTACCTTAATTATGATGAACTCAGTTTACTTTTTAAACTATTGGCTAATGATCATTACAGTAAATTTCAAATCATTAAAATTTACCAAATTAAAACCATATCTCAACAGTAGGTTGAACCAAATTTAAACAAAAGCTAGACACTAAAGGAAAAAAAAGAAAAAAGAAAGAAAATATTAAAAAACATATTTTGTTATTCATACATGTAAAAGTTTACTTATTTATTTAACTATATTATTTATATAATTAACTATTAATTGATATACAAAAAATGTTGTTAAAAACCTTGAAATATAAAAATATTTCTTGGTTTTTAACAATATGACATAAAAAAAAGGCTTTTAAAGAAAATCAACAGAAATAATGCTAAACCTTAACTAGACAATATTGGACTCCTACTTAATTTAGGAATAATATAATGTAATAAGACTCATACCCCAGGTTCCATTGAGTCTAAAGTAAAGAAGTAATTTAATTTATTTTAAAAAACTAATAATAAAAATACTGATCCTCTCAAACGCTTCATCTAAATTTTAAAAAAAAGCTCATTAAGTCATTAATTCTTGAAGTTTGAATTTTAATGATTTAACCACATTCTCATCATAAATTAAGTAACTTAATGTTTTTATTTGAGAAAGGATATCTCTACATGATGGTGCATTTGTTTGCTTAGGGTATATTTTATTCTGCACATTTTCCAAAATAACATGACCTTGTGTCTCAGATAAGTTGTCTTCAAAACATATATTAGATTTTTCTTCATGACAAGATTCATTACCATAAATGACTGAATTATCCAAACAAAAGTATGGAGATAATCGGTAACTATCTGGCAATAAATCCCAACTAACTCCATCGCAATGTTGAAAGATTGCTACCATATGTTTGCATGGCATCAATTTTTTCTTCCTTTCTATGCATTGGCAATCAGGGAACTTAGTGTCTTGACCTCCAATAGTGACAATATAACTTTTTGCACTTGTGAAGCTTTTTACCTCATACATTTGCTTATTCTTAGAAATTTCATGGAATGTAATTTTTAGGTTATTGCAGTCCTTCACAAGACCAATCTTTTCTATACAATGTCTTGTAAAATTCTCAGGTTTATTACAAAACCATTTTGGAAGGTTGCTATTGTAGAGTCTGTAGTCTGAGCAGCGACGAATATTAGCTTCCACATACCTTGAAGAATGAATAATAATAAATTATTTGCTAAGATTATTCTCAAGACAATAATTATTAAAATTTATAAAAACTTTAATAAGAATAGAAAGGTCTATTAAAAAACTGCATATACATAGAAACTAATAAAATCCCTTTTTATTATTCTAATAAATTTGACAATATATGTCTATATTATCAATTAACAACGAATGTTTGCATTGTCATTTCAGTATAATGAAAAAATTGCTTTTGTCAAAAGTTTACCTGCTGTATGTCTCAGGAATAAATTGATCAACAAGAACTGTCACCATTCCACTTAACGAGTTATCCTTATACTGATTTAAAAACTCATGTTTGAAATCTCTGTTCTTTCGCTCAACACCGTTGTTTGTATTTACAACTGTCTCTAATATTCCACTTCTGAATGCTTTGACCCAACGCTACATAAAGGAAAAAAGCCAGTATTACGTCAATTCATACACATAATAGGATACATAATAAGATAATAAATGGTTATATTGCATAAAACTTGTAAGCAACAAGATCCTACCTTTTTCTCAGGCAACCATGTTTTTTCTATGTAATTTTTAAATTTAATGCTATTTGTAGAGATCCATATTGGATCCTTGTGTAGAGCTTGTATAGCAATGTCATATTCTTCCTGTGTTTCAGAAGCAGCTATTCGTCTAAGTAAACAAAGAGCAGTGTGCTTGACTGATCTCATTCCATTTGCATTAGCAGACAACCATCTTTCACACGCTTGCTCGCGGTGAAAGTCACAGAGAATAACAAAGCAATCTTAAAAACAATCATTACGCTCAAATATAAATTTATTTCATATGTGACTTATGTCTTTAATTTAGAGGCACTAATAATCCTAAAATCCAGGGTACTTTAAGGTTCATATTATTTTTTTACAATTTCTTAACTCTAAAATAGCTCTAACACCAATGAACCCATTTTTTTCGCTACATTTATTATTCTGCAAATCTATATCCCACAATATATGTACTACATCAGCTTTTATGACATCCGCTTGAATAACTGATAAAGGCACTAGAGGGTTTGGTGAATGACATTCACCAACTATTGAAATTACATTTTTTTGACATAATCAATTAATTAAAAATTATTTCTATTATCATATATATGCTTAGCATAGACAAATCTTTGCTACTTTTATGGGATTACACCCCTAATGTAATTTGGTATATTAGAGTTGTAAACGCTTTTCTATTATAAGGGGTGTACCCTGATAGTCATCCGGTGGCACAGGAAAACTTGTTTTCTAAAATGGTGACTTAAATTTCAAATAAAATTTCTCTTGGTAGCCCAGCAGGACAACCAGGCAGTTTGTTACTTACAAAAAAATGTTTATAACTAATATAAGATTTCATTCCTTGCAATTATTGAAAAGAAACCTTCAAAAAGTATTTAATTTAGTCATACACTACGTTTAAAAATAAATACACTATGGCGCATTAAATCATTTTTAGATATTACCGGCCTACTGGTTATCATTGCAGACAACTCAAGTAAGAAAATATTTCAGCTGCAGGGACACCATGAAATGACCAAAGGACACACCCCTGTATATATAACAACTTCATCTATTACTAAAAATAATCAACCATTTTCACAAAAAATTATCAAACACTTTCAGAACATCAGTTAGGGCAGCAACTCTAATTACACAGGATAATAATTTACCATAAATATACCTTACCTATGTATACGCATGAACAAAGAGGCTATAACAACAAAAAGAAATTATAATTAAATATAACAAATTAACCTTTAAAAACATTTTCGATTGATAAAATTTCTGCCTCACAGTTATCAGTCATAAAACACTTAGGGTTCCATTCTGGATTCCACTGACTTAATTTTTTTAGTGCTTCTGTTATTGTATCAGTAGTTTCATCTTGCACTGCAAAGGACGCTACTACCATCATTAGACGTATATGATTTCTTTCAGATTTAAGAAAAAGAAGGTCGCAATGTATTATTAACATTAAACTATTTTTGGTGGTCTTCTGGAAGGCACAAAATACAATAATATAGAAACAAGGTCAACAAAAGAGGTTGAAGTCAGATCAGCAGATAGTTCAGCATTGCAGAGTGCTGAAACTAAATCTGAGGGTTGGTAACCATATTTGACTTTTTAAAGATTTTGTTTAAAATTTCAGAAAAAAAAAAAATTACTTTTCCAACTAAATGACCTTTGTGTTCGTCTTCTAAGGGGAAAGTAACAACAATTTTTCTATCAAAATTAAATGTTTCTTTTTTGTTGCTCCAGTCCTCCTTCAGTTTTTCAGCGACAGTACGCTTTCGGCATTCAGTGTTTGCTTCTGCCTAAATTTAAAATTAATCTATTAATCTATTCCATTAAATAGTCTAATTTTTACAAAAAATTTAACTTAAGTCTGTTACCGCTATTTTATAATAAAGCATAATCTAAGAAAAATCACAGAAATTGTATTGTACTTTAAAATCTGGAAAATAAACCACATCACTTATTGTAATTTTTGCAGGGCAGTTCATTTTCTTTGTATCTTGGGATAAAAAACTACTTTTAGCATACATTGTGGCACTATTAACAGTATCCTAAATGAAAGTTCACACACATAAAAACATTTTAAAAAATTATATATTTATCAAGATAGGATTCTAATCCATTGTTTTTGTTTAGTTGTTTTTGTATCGATTAATAGGACATATTTTACTCACATCAAATTTTTAAAAGTGGTCAAAATAAATTACTTTTGCCTTCAGTTTTTCTGCTTGATTTCTCATTTTCCGCGATATAGTATGATTGACTCCATGAGTACAATCAAGATGTTTCGAACCAACAATTATAAACGGAACTCCACTAAACATAATTTGCTGACTAGGTCGAAATTTATTCTTTTTATCTTCAAAAAGTATTTTGTGGTTTTTCAACTCAAAATTTAAAAAAACATTAAAGTGTCAATATTTAATTTATATAAACTATCTAATATACTAATTATAAGTTAGATTTTTGCTCTTTTTTTAATACCGGCACAGACATTAAAGCCTAGCATTAAAGTCACCAAAAACAACAATATTATAAATAAATGTAAATTTAAATTAATTTTAACGTAAATTTATTTAACTTAATTAAATAAATGTAAATTTATTTAACTTATTTAACTTGTCTGAAAAAATAAAAAGACAGTATGATTGAATAATATATACGTCATAAATATATTACATTTTCAAAATAAATAGATTGCAAATGGAAACCGTATTGAAAGTTATATGACCATCAAATTATGCTGTGCATATCCATCAAAACATGCTGTGCATACCCAGTGATTTAAATCATGCAAAATTTTAATTGAGTCATAACTCAAAGCTTTAAACCCCTCTATCCCTTGAGAAAGTAGTGTTGACTGACATGGTTCTTCATTCGCCAAATTAAGGCTAACGATAGTATTAACAGCGTCAATAATGCGGTCATTTAGCCATTCATTAGACTCCAAAATTTCTTTATCTTCTTGTTTTAGATTCAGTTCCTGTATCAACCATGCAATTGGTGGGAGTGGATCTTCTAAATCTATTATTTCTATTGAAGTTATCCTTGTTTCAAATGAACATCTTCCAATAAAACAGAAGTTAGTGAAGTAATTAATGTAGGTGGAAACCAAATTTTTAAATTGCTAGCATTAACAACTTGTTTAATAATTTTTTCTCCAAGTTGAAGTCTGTAAACTCCTTTACCTAACTCGTCTATGATTTTAAAAGGACCTGTAAACCGCGCAGAAAGCTTGTCACCCATTCCTGTGTCACGACGGTTATGTTTAAGTACCATTTGCCCGACTTTATAGGTTGCAGCTGAATGCTTTAGATCTTAACCTTTTGTTGCGCTTTTTCAATCTTTTATTTCGCCTGTTCTCGTGTATTTTGTAGGGATTGTTTGAGGGTAATTATATGTTGAGGTACATCATCGTTTTCATCAACAGAAGCCTCGCATATGTCTTTTTCTATATCGATTGAAAGACGAGCTTATACTCCATACATAAGTTGGAAAGGCGAAAACTTTACAGATGCTTGAATGTTAATGCGATAAGCAATAACAACTGGATTAATAAATAGGTCTCAATCGTTACTTTCTTTGTTTATTAGCTTGAGCAAATGTCTTACCAAGGTTTGATTAAATCGCTCCGTCAACCTGGAAATCCAATAAGATAAAAGTTTGTTTTATAATTATAGAAAAAAATTTGTTCAATATGATATGGTGTGTATATGTTGTTGTAATGACATAAAATTACCGTTTTAAAATAAAAATTTTCAAATTTTATTTTAAAACTGTAATTTTATATAACTATATTAAAAATATTATAACTATATAAAAATATTCAGCCATCTTGAAAAAGAATTATCTGTTTTTTAAAGATATACCCATTAGTTTGAGGATGGTATGCAGATGTCATAGCAACTGTTATTTTCATTTGTTCACAGAGATCGTCGACAAGCTGGTTGTTAAATTCCTTCCCTTGGTTGTGTAAAATTACGTTAGAAGCACCAAATCTGAATACAAGCTCCATCAAAAATGCATGAACACTAATAGCATTTTTTTCCCGAATAGGTTTCACTTCCGCATATTTCGTAAGATATTCAGTAGCTACACAAATATACTTTTTTCCTTTTTTTGTCTCTTTAAGAGGACTAATAAGGTTGATACAAGCGGCACATTTACGTGCAAAATCTTTGACGTCTGCTGCTATACAAGACCACCAATACCGATTGGTTACTTTAGCTATTGTTGCAGATTGACCGAAGTGACATCCGCCGATAATTCCATCATGCATAGACTTTATTATATATTTTTTTTGGTCTTCATCAATGATAACTCTTCCTAATTTAGTATGTAAACTCTTACTCTTGTGATAAAGAAAATCTTTTACAATCAAAAAAGAAGTAGCTTTTTGCCGCAGTCGTCTTTTTTGTGCTTTATCGTAACCAGGCGGATACACTTATTTAAAATATAATGTTTCAAATTCATATAAATTTCTTCGTCTAGTTTATTATTTATATCTTCAATTTTGTGTTGAATTCTATTTAATGTTTTTAATGGCTTCCATTTTTGAGACTGTTATACAACTAAATAATAATTTAATATTTTTTTTCTTTTTCTTCAAATTATTCTTAATTTAATTGCTCAGTAATAACTATTATTTACGATCTTTTTAATAATTGACAAAAATAATAGACAAAAATATTTTTAATGAGAAAACTACGTTGTATTGGTTCTTTGTCAAATGGCAAGACTTGCAAAAATTTTACATTATCTACCTGAATCTTTAAATGGTCAGCAATAACTATTATTTATATTTTTTTAATAAATGCATTATAGACAAAAAATAAAAACTGTTCTTTAAACCATCGGGATTGGCCGATGGTTACCTAGACCGATGCATTGGCTAAATGGTCAATGCATCAGCTAAATGGTAGGCTGATGCCAATCCAACCCTACATATAATAGACTCAGTGGAAAAGGTGCGTAGCCCACATTTCTTAAATTTTCATGGTAACCACTTTAACCCACTTTTAATGTGGTTTAAAGTGATAACCTGCAAAATTTTGAAAAGGTGGGTTAGGCATCTTTTCAAGAGTTTGTCATATAGCGTTAACATTATTATTAAATCTTAATATAAATACATTTATGACGCATACACTTTTTAGACATTTCATGTTGTTTCATTTTTCATAAATCAGTAAGCTTCTAATCATGTATACATATATGCATGTAAATATATATGTGTGTGTGTATATATGTGCATATATATACACACATATATATATACACACACATATACACATATATGTAAATATACATATATATATATATATATATATATATATATTATATATATATATATATATATATATATATATATATATATATATATATATATATATATATATATATATATATATATATATACATATAATTATAAATGCATTCTATAAAATGGAGTGCTCAATGTTCTTATAAGAACAGAGCAATAAATTAGTAGATGTAATAGATAGTAGAAAGATAGTAAATTTCGATATATACGTGTTTACATATACACATATATATCGAATGTATAAATATTTAAGAATGCTTAAAATATATTTAGTGCTACTGTTATTATATGCATATCAGTACTAATTAACAGATTAACAAACACAATTATTATTTGTCAGTCGATGTAGCAGTACTCTAGTGCGAGTCAGGCTATAAAATAGTCGATGTAGCAACACTCCCTTGTAGCAGCAGGCTATAAGATAGTTGATGTAGCAACACTTACGCATGCTTTAAAAATGTTTTTTTAATAAAACAAAAACAAAAACACAACTAATTAAAAAAAACTTTCTAGTCATTATTATTGCGGTTTTTTAAAAAAACAATAAAATTTAATGTACTTCCGCATTACTTTAATTGCTTTGACATTTCGACAACAATAAAATGATTAGAAATCACGTTACATTATCTCAGTATTATAGTTATAGACTTTTAGTTGGACAATTAACCTAAACAAAAAAAATAGGTGAAGTGATTTTTAGTAACTTCAGATCACTTTGTTGTTATTTTTTTATTACTATTAGAAGGGTTAATAATAAAAGTTTTTAGGCAGTAAAACTGGTACTGATTTTAGTAAGTTTGCTATATTTTTTTACTTAATATTTTCATTAGATTTAATAGGTTTTTTTAATTACTTTGGAGTAAAATATATTGAGTGATATTACTTCATTTTTTACACTTTTAGATTATGTATTGTTGTCTAGATTCTTTGTTAAATTACAATTTAATGATGTAAATAAATTTTTATTTTTGATAGACAACTTTTATCGAAAAATAAAAATTTAAAGAGGCGTGAACTTCCTATTAAATGCTTATCCACGGTGCTCTGTGATAAGACCTTGAAGACTTCTTGGAGCACCTAAAATAAAATTAAAAAAAAGTTGTTGAAATATATGAAATGCTGCTCGGCGAGCAGAAAACTTACTTGCCAGAATTCAATGTCAAGCGGTGTTTATGTGTGTTTATTTGATTTTTTATTAAACACTTTAAAACACTTTAAATCGAATAGTTTTAAATTTAAATGATTTTAAATTTTTTTATAAATTCAAACGTAATTATGTTCTTTTTTTTTTAGTTGCCTTTGTTATCACTTGATTAGTTTGCTTACTGTTGAAACATGGTTTTAATTTTGTAAATTTAATATGAAATTTACTCTATTAATCATTAGTTGACAGATAAAGAGAAGCTGGAGCTTTACATAATAAAGGTAAAAATAATTTTGTTTACTCTTAGATAAGAGATGAAAGAGAGTTAGTGCATGGAGCATCAATAAAACTTATATAATTACTTTTTAGTTTAAAAAAAAGTAATTATATAAGTTTTATTAATGCCACAATTGATAATGACCATGTATATAAAAAATTTTATGAGCTGCTTGGTATTTTATGATAAAATTGTTCAATATTGTAATCAATAAAATCTTTTTAGCTCAAGTATTTTAGTTGATAAATTATCTTAAGTTGTGGTGTTATACGTTATTACGTTATTTACTACGTTAAGTTGTCTAGCCTTTATATAATCTTTTCTTTTTTAATTTTGGAGAGACATAGTAATGTGTGCTTACAAATATCTTATGCTATGCGCTATTGTTAATGTGTTTTGTGTTGATAGAACTGGGCTATAGCAGCAATTTTTTTAAGTCTTCATTTAAGTCATCTTCATTCTATCAACAATAAAATGCAAATAATACTTTGTAATTATTTTTCGTTCCTTTTTTTAGGCATTGGAAGGCTTTACTTAACTTTCTTTTTATGGTACCTGCTGTGTTGTAACAGATCTTAAAAAGAACTTTACGGATGTTAACGAAGTCTTTTTTTGTTAGTAACCGTAAGCAATTATTTAATTAC